CCAATCTAGTATCTAAGGTCGACCCTGGCATTCCGCGGATGACCTCGCCCTACCATGTCCGGTTGCTGCTTCGTCTCATGCGGCAGACCATAGAACCACTGATTATCCCAATACTGTGCTTGTAGCCCACCTTGCTCGAGAGTCCTGACGACCATAGTGTACCTAAAACAACGCTGAGATCAGAAGGAGACGGGCCCCGCGGCAGGCGTAGTACTGTCCAGCGATGGTCGGCCTGTAGTAAATGCTGTATTGACCGTTACCACTGTCGGCACTCGACGCGGTGATTGGGGCCATACCAACAGGAATGGGATTGGACGCGGTGGTGTAATGGGTATCGCCAGGGACTAACGGCACCTGATGAGCGACAGGTCGCCGGTTCAACCCGAGCACCCCACATCAACCTACCTCAATAGTACTGGTTATCTCATCCAGCTTGCTTGGATTCAATAACCGCAATACGAAAATACGGCTCCCGTACTGCGTGCCCGAAAAGCCGCTAAGCTCGTTGGCACCGGACAGCGGATCGACCGCTTGCACGATCACCTGCACGATCACAGCGAGTCACGAGATCATCTACTCTCACGCTCTAAACGAATCCGAGGCTTGCAAGAAAACCGCCAGCGGTAAAACCGCCGACTAGTAATTGCGGAACGCACGACTACCCGCACGAGGCCGATGACGCTCTCGTCGAGCGACCTAGTGAGGGGGCTTACCTGATGACTGATTCCAGCCTGCACGGCACTTGCATAGGAGGTGACGGCACTTCCAGGTACGGCGAACATGTTCTTGAGCATGACCGTGACCTCAGAAGAAGTACTGCTAGTGCCAACTCTATTGGTGGCGAACACTCTGAAGCGATATGATATTGGGCTGGACAGACCACAGAATACTTGAGAGTAGAGGTTCGGGTTCGGCACGCAGGGTTGTACGGTGACGAAGTTGCTATCAGCGTTCATGTCCCTGGTCACCGAGTAGCATGTGATTGGCGACCCTTGAGGGTCCGGTGCCGACCAGGACAGCTTCACGCAGTCATAATCGTACTTGGTGAACACCGTATTCTGAACCGTCCAAACTGGCGAGCCAGCGGCCGCATAGGTCACGATATCAGACGCATCACCGGTGACACTGCCGCTAGAGGCAGTGCCCTGGCAGTAATAACGGCAGTTAGCATCAGCAGCGAGACCGGTGGAGGTGACAGTATTTCCACAAGTCGCATCTAGAATCATCGTAAAAGTGCCTCCTCCAGCGCAGTCGTCTCGATATATTCGGCAAGCCGTTGGTGAGCCCGTCGGGATTGGGTCGACTCGAACCTGAAGCCGCTTGAACTCAAAAATCGAGCCAGTTGTCGCGTCGTCCGATTCACAAGAATATCTAGCAAAAACTGCGGCTGCTCGCACGAGAGCCTGGGAACTCCGCTGGGGCAGCCAATGGAGCATCGTAAGGATGTATGCGAGGTCGAGCAGCTCATTCATGACCTACCTGTATATTGCCACTAGTTGAGCTGACAAGTACTGGCGGGCTGCACTTCCCTATGCTCTGAGCCTCGACGGCTGTTAGCGCGTTAACAATGATGAATAGCCCAACTCGCTTGGCCACCGACTCCATGATTCTTCGGTTGGGTGAGTGCGAATAGCGAGAGATGTGGTAACAAATGGATAAACGGTAAGGGAGGATGGAACTGCTCCAATAAGCAATAAATGATGACGACGCATGAACCGACGTAGTTTTTCAGTTCGGAATGTCAGCCTGCCACTACCTGTTCGCAGACACCCACTGCGAGCAGCTTCTGCATCCGTGTAGCGAGGCAGTACATACGTGATGACGAATCAATCGACGTAGAATCCACCCCAAAACTCGTACGAAGCTGCCGGGTGCTCGTCCGAAGTTGCTAGTCAGCGAGTGCGGCAGCGTACGGCTGCCTTCGACGTCTCATCACTCTTGCCTGGGGAGCGTTGTGTTGCTACAACCTCCCGTCATCGACACGAAATTTTTCTGAACTAATGACGAGCTTTCGCGAGCGCAAGCTCGGGCGTTGGGACTGGTGGTAGTGCTGTTGATTCCAACTCTTAAGACTGTTCGGCTCCATAGATACATAGTTCGCATTTTGCTCTTCACAATGCAACATCACAGCGGACAGGATTGTTAACATGCAACGCGTACGTTGCCAATCCTGTCCGTCGGCGCTCGAAGCCGATTGTTCGGCGTACACGCAGGTTCGTTAAAAAGCCAGACGTACATCCACACAGCTTCATCGATGCGAAAGCTTCGTAAGGCCTACTGACAGTGATCATCATGCGCACTACGATACTTCGGGCGCGCGCTAAACCGAAAGCGCATTCTTGTGTCGCAGTTTCCATCGGATCGGACCGAGTTGCGTTGCGTTGCTGTACCCCAAACAACATAGTAACAAATCGAATTGAGTCAATTGTGGTGAATTCCCAGGGCTCTGCACATTCCCCCGTGTGTCGATGACGTTCGCTGCGTGAGGCAGTATCGGCCGACGCCCTGCACTCACCAACGAACGTCCCATGTCCGAGCCAGTTGCCATGCAGTTGCTACCCTCATATCATCACCGCAGTGATGCTCTCTCTTCACCTCGCCGTCTTCGTCGGAAGCCTCACTAGCCCGCTTACAGGGCTATTGGCTAAAACCCCCAAGTTCAAGGTCGGTTGCTCACGAACTTCTTCCTGTTTTCCGTTGATCCAGTCAGCGATGGCTTCCATCACCACTCTTACCGTTTGCCTAGCAGTCAACATCGCTGTGTGCATCTCTGACTCCTCAGGCTCTCAACATAAATGCTTTTGGTTATAACTACTTGGCCTGGTGTGAAGTCAAGAAGTCCAGGAACGGCCGGGTCGTTATCGGTGTAGGAGCCGAAGGGACTGTTACCGTGTCGGCATTCTGCCCTTACAAAGACGATCTTCGCATCTTCCACGAGTAAGTCTCTACCGTCGATGTGACGCTTGCGATTTGTTTTTTATTTTCTTCTTTGTAGTGGTGAGACTGGGCAAGGCAGTCTTTATGGCGCGCTGGGAAAAGCCCTTGCTCCTGCGGAAGGGTGGGATGCTGTTATCGGCGACACCTGGGTCTCAAGACCGGTGTGCAAGAAGGTTGTCAAGGCGATCTCTAACAAGCTGTGTAGCGGCGGCGACACTGAACTCGAGTCGAACCGCGCTGGTCTCGCCTGTGCTGGCCGCGGGAAGAAGGAGGATCATTTCGTTGACGGCATCTGCGACATCGCCTATGCCCTATCCTGGAAGCAAGATAGACCCTCCAGCCCGCGGAGAGAGCGAGAGATCACCGTGTGAACATTCCACGATGAACTTTCGTGGCTGCAAACGAAGGCAATTTGAGGTCGCCGTGAGAATAATCTGATTGTGTTGTGATCGATGTCTTGCTTCATGTCGCGCGATGTTCCGTTCATGCTCTGCTGGCTCAGCGTTGACCTCGGGTGAAAGGCGGTAACACGTCAGGCTTCATGGTAGCTTAACGATGCTACCTTCCCTCCTTGGGAATTGATAACTCCAATTGCCTCAATAACCACTCATCGAATGCATGTTTTTTGCGCGAATTCCATTGCTTTCATCGGTTTGGTGCCCAGACCACTTTTCCCCCTCCCTCTTTTATTCTCGCGGTCCACGTCAGTCCCGGACGAATTATCGATTTTTACTTATGGAGTCCATAAGTCCATGAGTACTTATGGAGTCTATAATATGGACACACTCCGCGTGGTCCTCGTGATTGCTCAGGCCTCTTCCTCCGTGGTGGGAAATCTGAGGGTTCGTGACGACCTCCGCCCCTCTGCTTGAGGTCGAGATTATAAAACGTCTTGATGTCGACTCTCACTGTGGAGTGTGTAAAACACAGTGTATTGCGCGAACATTCAACGAACAATCTTTCACTTGTCATCATCCGCTGCTGGCTTGTCGTTCTCGAAACAACGTCATTGTTGTTGAGCAACTGCGGCTGGGACTTTGGGTTTAGGGGTTGTAACTCGCGGAGTGTCTTGCCATCCTAGCACATCTCAACGACGACGGCTGAAAGCGGGTAAAATTCCATAGTCACTGGGGTTGGGATAAGTTCCCAACGCGAAGCCTGAGCTCTGGGGCGGAAACATAGACTCAGACTGCCTCGTGATCCTTCGACAGGCTTCACGAGACAGGCAGAGTCCCCCAGTAACAAGGATATAGAAAAAACCTGAGCCCGGCCCTGAGAATGGCCGGAAGGGATGTCTTTGAGGGCCCCACCTTCACTCAAGGATCACCACAAACTCTGGCTGGGAACCAGTGCGCCGGTGACACACAGAAAACTCGTCCCTGCCTGCGCGGGCGGTTGTCTCCCCTGCGTTCATGGGATTCCGCTGTGGAATTTCCACATCAGATAACGACATGACCCTATCTTACAGTGAATGAGCTAGTTCCTCCAATTTCGAAATGTCCGGGAAATGCTTCGAAGCGAGATTTGAACTTGACCAGGGAATATCCTTGCAGGGTACGCCGTGAGTCGCTCACGGTGAGTGGACCGAAATTAGCTGAAATCCCGTTGGGTAACAACGCATATATCAATAAGGTCCCCGGTCCCCGGCGCCTCCGAGCCGGAGGTACCTCATAGTATCTTACGCAACTTGCGTAACTTGGGTCCGTCTTACGGACTCCGTGTTACGGCGTCCGGGTGAGGAGCCTGAGGCTCCTTAAACGAGGCATACCAAAAGGCCTTATGCGGTGGAGCCTGACGTAAAGAGTGCTTCCTTACTCCTAGTGTCAGGAGCCTCATCGTAAGGAGCCTTATAGCTCCTTACCCTTCTGACGCGAATCGTAAAGACACAAGAGCGACTTACGAAAAAACTGTTGGGTTCCTCACGGTTTTTGTGACGTATCGCACCGCCTGACGCCTGAGTGCGATCCTGTGGAAAAAGGAGAATGGCTAACGCGAGGGGCGATGCTCAAGTCATTTCCGTCGATGTTGCCGAGCGGCCTACTTTCAAACCTTAAAAGTGCATAGACAGTTTGGCCGAGTGGCCTAAGGCGTCAACTTAGTGCACTTGAACTGAAGGGCGCGAGATCGATTCTCGCAGCTGTTATACAAGTTCTATATCGACGTCTGAGCCAAACCAGACGTAGTGAAACCTCTGATCTGCGAGTTTGGGAAGGGGCAGTAGTCGCTGGCCGTAGGACGAAGCCCGAAACACGAACTCGCGACCTGTGGCCGGCGGCGACGTCTGAGCCAAACCAGACGTAGTGATAATCGCTACCCGGGTCTGAACGGGGATGTCATGGACATATTGTGACGCCCTTACCACTAGACGGTAGCGACGCAAAATACCGGATAAGGCTGTAGCTTTTCCTTGATACCCTACACGAAACTTGTGTAGTGTAGAGTGGTGCAAACATTGGTCCGTGACGCGCTCGCCCAGGTGGCTAGTGACCCCTAGCTATACCTTAGCTCCGTACTGATATGGTCTGTAATCTGTCATCGCCTGTCCGTTGTACGTGACCAGCGGCGTCATCCATTGTACGTGTGTATCTGTTAGTTTGGTGAGCGTGCTGGCTCAGTTTGCCCACCCTCTGCCACCAGGGTAGTTTTACTGTCTGCATCTGGACGTGCAATCCACAGCTGTCGGTGGATGGCAGTCCGATGGCCCAGATTTGATCGGCAGGGCGGGACGAGTCGAGTTGACGAGTTTTGGGTGGGAAGCTGCGATCGGGCCTAGGTTTGCACTCTTCATATACAAATGGATACCTCTCGTGCAGTATCGCTAAAAAGTTTGTTGCACGGGGTCCCCTCACTGCTGAGGAAAGATGAGTTCCTTTGAAGAATTTTCATTGCTTGAAAATTCTGCCTGGAACTCGGAAACTTTTCGTTTCGGCCGCTTATCCCTTTAGGAGAGCGGCCGAAACGAGACGCTCCTGAGCAACGAGACCATTCCAAGGCGGGAACCAGCGGGCCAGCTTGTTTGCAGCGCTTTTATATATCGATTCAACAACCGTAACGCACCCAAGCCGTGAACGTTTTCGGACCTGCGGTTGTCTTTGTGACTCCGTCTCAGAGCTTCTCTGTCTGACGAACTACACACGGAGCCAGCGCAGTGTAGAGAAGTGCAGATACGGTGACGAAGCATACGCTCGCTTCCAGCGCTAGTGTTGAGGCTTACGATGTAAACTTGACACATGCTTATTGTGCGCCAGAGGATGCGGTTGATGATGATTCTAATGATGTCGGCATTGTTAATTTTTGTGACCGGCGCATTACTTTTTGTGGAGGCACGAGTAGCAGTGTACGGGAAGGGAATCGTTGGTCGTAGAAAAAGTAGAAGGTTCTTGATTTGGTGGTGTAGAAGGGGATCCTAGAGAATCATAGGAGAAAGCACGAGAGTTCGGGACCGTCCCTAATCGATTCATTCCCGACGACTGCATCAACAGAACACAATGCGAAACCAACTAGATACGATGGCAATAGTCTAGAGGGCTAGGGTTCGATCCGAGAGAGTAGACTCGAGGAGCGAACGAGAGATAGATTGCAACGAGGTAGAGTAGAATCAATAGACAGGCTAGAGATTCAGATACTTAGCAGATACTCGATCTGAAGTACAGTTAGATCGCTCTAATATATAGAGTTCTCAGAACTTAGTTCTAAGCTTGGAGTGCTTCAGCGAAGCTAGCCGTTTCGAAGATCTTACAGTTTTAGATCTTCGGCGAGCGAAAACTTCGTGGCGCCGTTGGACGGCATATACCCCGCAAATGAATAGATCATTTCACTCATAGAATAACCTTAATTAATCATCAGATAGACAAAATAGATCATCGAATCAAAATGTTCACTAACATAGTCGAGCTACGAGAGCTCTAGCTAAGCAAAATAGAAAGAAGAGTACTTCATAGATCTTTCATCTTTCATCATCAGATGGTCTTCATAATGAATCCTCCTTGTCCTAGTCGTCAGAGTTAGACGTAGGAAGAGCCACCAGCAGATAGAGGGGGTCGTTAGATACACATAAAGAGTAGGCAGTCGCGTCGTAGGCAGAAATCGTGTCACGCAGGGTTGCACGAAAACGACGCACTGAGAGATATCGTTAGAGACCTAAACGCTCGAGCAGATTACGAGTACGCTCTAATAGAGAGCGAGTTAGCGGTCTCGTGGAAGAGGTAACATAGAGCAGTTGTGACCTGGAGACGTAGTACACAGTCTCAGGGTCCAATGTAGACAGCACACCGGTGGTAGACAGAAGGGAGACAGGTCGTAGAGGTACGAGGTCAGAGCCAGACACTTCGTCGCCTAGAACTGCCAAACCTCGGTAAGTTGAACCATCGGTAGAGACAACCAACCAACCGGGATGAAGCTCCTTAGAAGGAGGAATAGAGGCACCTAGGATCAGCATGGACGACGTAGATGCCCTTGGTGGTTGGGTGGTGGTCGTACTTCTAACCGTAGAAGGAGCGTTAGCCTCGACAGACTGTGAACCCTCGTGAGCCGCAGCCAAACCGCCTTCTTCAAGAGGGGGCTGAGAAGAGCTAGATGAACTACCTTGCTGTGGATCTAGAGGAAGGTCTTGACAACCAGGTAGAGCAACGGAGCGTCGACGACTTCGGGTCGTAGAGACCTTATCTTGAGCTTGTCGAAGAAGAATCTTGGACTGATCCGAGCCGTCAGTGCTAGCCGGCATAGTAGACAAGCCACCGGCAGCGTCTTGATAGACTCGAACACCCTTCTCAAGATGGTCATAGACCAAGCTCTGCAAGGCTCTAGCCGGAACCAAGTTCTTGAGCGAGGCATAGACAAAGGTAGCCTGATCCGGACCACCTTCAATAGAGTTTCCATCACTGGAAACCTGTAGGTTACCGCCATAGTCGTTCGGTAAGAGGATACCGTCGAAGAGGTAAACCATTGAAGTTCCAGCTAATCGAACCACGGTGAGAGGGCCACGCCAACTAGAGTTTAGGTGACCACCGATGTTGTTAGCCGCTTCGGTCATGTAAACCAGGTCATAGAGGCTCAGCTTGTAGTCCTGGGGTGTCTCCTTGATAGAGCGTTCTCGAAGGTCGGCCTGCTTAGAGCGCCAATTATCGATGTACTCTTGAACGGTAACTTTAGTCTTCTCCTGCAGATCTGACAGAGCAGGTAGAAGAGACCGGACGTAGGGGAGATAGTCAACATTTAGATACTTGATCTCGAGCTTGTCCCAATCCACAGACGGGAAGTTAGTCGGAGGATCAGTAGGTAGCCGTTGACGATAAGCATAATGTAGAGCGCTAGGACTAATGGTAGACCAATGCCGAGGTGTAGAGTTGTAACACCTTATAGCTAGTAGATAGCTGTAGATGTAGTCCTCGGGGGTAGCACTCGACACCATAATCGCTCTAGACGTTTGGGCCAGATCACGATGAGACCTTTCCCAAAATGATAGATGCTGACTATAGCCAGGTAAACTATATTGCCTAGTGCCGTGTTTGATTAGTATAGATCTAACGGCCTTGGTCAATATAGAGGTAATAGCTCGATCACTCACTAGAACGCTAGGGCTTCCGTGTTCACAGAAGATAGCGTGTAGAGCCATAGCGACAGTCTCGGCCTTAGAATTTCTCATAGGCCTGGCCGCAATATAGCCGCTCACAGCATCTTGGCAGACCAGAACATAGTAGTCCTTGGACGGGTCTAGATTAGCATCCCCTTGAGAACTAGCGGACGCATTAGACGCACTAGACGACAGTCTCGAACGGTGGCGTGTAGAAGGTCGACCATAGGGACCGACAACATCGACACCCACCAGCTGCCATAGCTGAGTCACAATCATGTCCTGGACATCGGAGTTCAAGTAGCGGATCGACTTAGACGCACGAGCACGAAGACATCGAGTGCAACTTGACGTGGTCTTGCGCACAGCAGTAGATATACCGCGAGCCGTGAACCGCTTCTTGATAATAGATCGCAGGCGGCGTTGACCTGGATGTCCAAAGGAGTAGTGGTAGATCCCGACTAAGATACACAGTACTTGATAAGCATATCTTGAGTTGCCGAGATAGATAGTTCCGCCATCATCAGAGTCGGTCTCGAAGTTAGAGCTGTACCAGCGCCGTTGGCGAATGAGGCCATCAGTATCTAGCGAACAGTGCTTAGATAGACGTTGGAAGACAGTCTTCCGTAGACCAAGGGAGCCGACAGCAGTTTTGCCCTCGAGGTAGTCGCGGAACTTAGAGAGGTCAGTGTCGTTAGACTGGCATCGACGAGCACAGACCGTTAGACGCCGTTGGAACTCAATATTGTCCAAGGTAGACTCAGAGGAGTCGGTGATGCCCCTTGTAGTGTCGACGAACTCAAGTAGAAGTCGAAGTTCCTCCTTCTCGTCGTCAGATAGATCTAAACCCGAGATATTGGGTAGATCAAGACCATCGGAGTTGACCAACATGACGTGACCAGCACGACTAGATGGAGAAGTCGAGGCCTCAGGGGGTGACACCGGAAGGTCATCAACCGACATAGAGCTGCCGTAGAAGAAGTCGTCGTCCAGTAAAGAGGCGACCTTGTAGAGCGGCGGGTACCCCGCGTCCTCGCTAGAGGATGCGCTAGTCATGAAAAGGCCTTGAGCATACCCCGCGTCCTCGGTAGAGGACGCGTTAGTCACAGTCTGGTCTTGGGCGTACCCCGCGTCCTCGGTACAGGGCGCACTAGTCACAGTCTGGCCTTGAACATAGCTCGAATCTCCGCTAGAGAGCTCCTCACCCGGATAGTAGGTTACAGACGGACCTTCTAGAGCTGAGGCGAGGTTCGAACAGTTGAAGGACTTGGGTAGACTGCACCTCGATATAGAATCAGACGGGTTGCAGTTAGATGCCACATGCTTGATGTGAGCTCGGAGTTCCAAGCAGAGTCCACGAACAGCAGCTAGACGGCGTTGCTCGGGAGCTGGAAGCTTGGCATCATTAGAAGGACGCTTGAGACGATAGACCGTGACTTCGGAGTCGACAACCACAGTTAGGGGTTGATCAGGACATCGAGGAAATAGAACGTTGAGGGGTACCTGGTACTCAGAATAGTGAGTAGCCATAGGCAAATAGGGTGACAGAGACTTGACCCATAATAGACCTC